CCTGATAGATGTTATTGAGAACATCACGCACAGACCGGCTACAGTGTGCGGGAGCGCAGTCATGCATGTACCACCTTCATGTTATGTCAGTGGTGCGGCTTAGGGTTGCTTTGGCAGATCACGTAAGGGGAAATCTCGGTAGTAGTTGCCTGTAAGCTGATGTGGCAAAGCATGAGAGCCTACCAAACCACAACCAACAATCCCCTATTCATAAATTAATTCTGAGCTGCTGCTGGTGTCTATACAGCATTCTTCCATCATAATTCACAAAATAAATGTTGATTTGGACATTACTTATTGTTTTGGTATGTGAAAATTTTGCCCAAAGTTTATCCACAACTTCCAGTCACTCACAAACGTTTAGTTCTTACCTACTCGTACTACTGTTCGAATTTATCTGTTTTATGACCAATGAAAATATAGTATGTAGCATACACTGGGTGTGCGTGTACTGGATTCAGCTACCCCAGGATAGGGGATAGCGCCGGTATCTTTCGAAAAAGGTTACGAATCTTCCAGTTCCACGAAAGCTGCGACATTTTTTACCAGCTGAGCAACAATTTTTTTTTTCGAAAAAAGACTCTTCTCCTTGGAGGTAGCTTAGCTAACTTTAATGATATCCTTGAAAGTCGTAAGGTCGCCTTGATAACACATATTCTCTGAATAATTTTTGGTCATTAATGATTATTAGTGTTTTGCAATGAGTTGATTTATTTTAAAACTAATAGATCTACTCGCATTATTACGTGTAGTGTGTCGGAAGGTCAACAAGTTTCTAAGCCACATAATTTAGGCACCGACTAAGATGTTCCTTATAAGGAAGATATGGCCGCAGACAATTAACCATGACCTCAAGCATTCTTAGAACAATCCATTCCATAATCCAGGACTTTTCGAAATAACCCGCTAGACCGAAGTCTTTCTGCAGATATGTGATGAGGTAAGAGCCAGCGACCTACATCCCGTGGCAGTAGCCAGTAACCCAGCTCATGCTCAGTTACAGTGTTAGAACATGACAAGCACTTCCCTTATTCCAGTGGAGAGACGCACTCACTGGACCGAGCCCAGACCTGTCATCCAGTATCGGTATCAAACTCAACAAAGAATTCTCCGCCTCAAAGTTTAGGATCTTCAGATAATGCTTCGTGTCCTTTACGCAAACAAGAGGAACTGTCAGGAAGAATGTGACACGGATAAAGAACACGCCCATGCCATATACAGACCGAGAGCAGAACATTGTCTTACATACAGTCGAAAATAATTGCTAAAAGCGTAAAAATAAATTAGGGCAATAATATATTTCTATGCAGTTTAAAACAGTGATTCTAACACGCGGGTACGTGAATCCTCATACATAGAATGGCAAGTCAGATATATTTAATACAGAGTGTTCAATACATAAAACTGCAGTTGGAATTATCATAGAAACTTCTGGCGGCACTTGAGCACCATATAATTAAGACCGTGTAGATTGTCTAACATAAGATAAAAAGGTAGGTAGCTAAAGATATCCCTGTAACAAGCCGTGGAGTTCCATAGGTTTGTGAGACGTCGAGGCTCCCACATTTTCTAGACATCAGGCTCGCAGATAGCGGTGAAGTTGTCAGCCTTATGCCCCGGCCTCCCTTTACCTCCAGGAATATTCCTGGTACTCATTTCTGTTAGAGGCTGAGTCGACCTCAGAGCCATAGTGCCGCTGGAAGGATAAGGTAAATTGAAAAAGCCCACCTCACCGAGATTCGATCCCGCGACCTTCCGGCTTGTAGTATAGTGCCTCAACCAACTATGCCATCGCGTGTCCCCTAACATAGAATAAAAGAGTCTAAAATGTCCTGGAAACATTTTTGTAAGCCCAGGTTCTTTCTCTGTATGGAACACACTGCCGGTTTAAAATGAAGTGCTTATAACAAGTAGTTTGAAGTTAAAAATTAAATTGTCATTGAAAACATTAGCGTGAGCGTGAAGTTTAACTCGGAGACGAGGAGTACATTAACTGACAGAAGTTCAGAAACATCGATTTAGAAGGAGTCTAATCTACGTTGTGTCCCTTATTTATGGAAACATTTTAATATGTAGGCTCTTTGCAGAGCACAGACTGGCTTGCTACCTGCTTCAGGCTGGTTTCTTGCTTGGCATATTCTTCGACCCTGAAAACAAGTTGTCATTTGTCTCCGAAACATCGGTTGACTTTCAATGAACTACATGGCGATATATCCCAGACTACGGAACTCTGCATAAACACAGCTGTGAGAACCTCAGATCCTACAGAAGTGATTACGATTGCGCCTACTCCGTTTCAAATTACAAGATAGTCTTACATCTAACTTCAAATTCTTTGTTGCTTTGGAAATTTGAGTAAATAACTTACTTACTTTTACTTACTTACTCATGGAGCTAAGCCCTTCTTGAGGAGAAGCCAATTCTACAGCTCCTCAAGAATTTCACAGAATTTTACGACCCCGAAGGTTCATTACCGTGTTCAAAAGAGACATCCACTGGTTCCTATCATGAGCCAGATCAATCCAATCTATACCATCCCATTCTATCTCTTTGAGATTCGTTTTAATATTGTCCAACCACCTACGCTTTCGTCTTTCTAGTGGTCTCTTTCCTTCTGGCTTTCCCACCAATATCCTATATGAATTCCTCTTCTCCCCCATTTGTGCTACACGCTCAGCCCACCTCTTCCTCCTTGACTTGATCATTCTAATTACACTTGGGGAAGAGTACAAGTTATGAAGCTCCTAATTATGCAGTTTTCTCCAACCTCATGTCACTTCATCTCTCTTCGGCCCAAATATTCTCCGCAACACCCTGTTCTCAAACACCCTCACTCTATGTTCCTCCCTTAAAGTCAGAGATCAAGTTTCACACCCATACAGAACCACGGGCAATACACTAATCTGAAATATATTGTGTCAATACGGGCACAATTTTCATCCTTAGCATCATTCGGAATGCCGTTCATTTTGCTTCTCTCCTTGTGGGGTCACTAGGAACTCCAGAAATGGCCACAGGCCTATTTGTGTTTACAGTACAGGACACTTACTGACGTGCCTCAGCCACGTGCTTAAGAATCATATAAGTTGCTGTAAACATTAGAATAAAGAGTTTTATGGGTTCCGCTTCCCTTTTTCTTCTTTATCTTTTTGTACAGAGATCTCAGGTAAACAGGATGAAGTTCTTACATCTGATTTGGGCAAGTAATTGATCATTCATGTGTAAGTACATTAAACGGTGTGATACACATTTCAAGTTCTTCCCCCATGCTACTCTCCATTGAAAACCAACAAACCAGAAGTTATACCGAGTGAGGTGAATAAAGAAGAGCAAACTGTTGCTATTTTTTGGCAGGCAGTTTATTTCTTGCTCGATTCTGCGCTATGAAGAACATTGCTCTTTCGAATAGAAGTTTCACCAAAATAGAAAAGAAACATGAAGAGATATTTGCTCAAAGTTAAGAGGGCGTGAAATTATGATCAACAAAAGATATTTACAGTAAGAAACATGGTGTTATAGTCCGCAAAGCCTTTCAAGAGGAATGTTACACAATGTCAGAATGGTGTCGTTATTTCTGAAGTCTCAGAATTGAACCTAATAATAAGATTTGGGGAAATTTTTGAACACCCTGCATCTCTTCCGTGCCACTAATTCCATAAGCAGAGTTCTCCTTTAGAAGCAATCGGTCACTCAGCTCTGAAAATATTTCCTTCTCTCAAGGCACCCGAAGTATCGCTGCTGTATTCACAAGAACGCGCCACTGGTCTCTAGCCGCAGACAGACTAATTCCGTCCACGTAAACTTATTTCATTTCGTTAAACACGTCTAAAGCTACTATTAGTACGCATAAGACCTATAAAATGTTTTCATTTTAAGTTTCTTGGACTAAAACTTTGCATACATTTGTTAATCCTATCATGTGCGTTAGAAACCCTGCCCATCACATCGTCAACTTATTTTAGTAACGAAATTGTGTAAAAGTTTGAAGCTCGTCGAAACGAGCACGCTGGTTCAGGCGGAAACACTTCTGACCTGAATTCTAGAAGTGCCAGGTTTGAATATCGACCAGGGTACCGACTAATCCGGATAATATTTTGTGGTTTTCCTCAGTATATCTATGGAAAATTCTGGGATAATACCTTAGAGATGGCAGACCATTTCACTCTTCATCGTGAACATTTGTTGGCCCATCTCTGAACATTCTACACCATTGCCTTACAGTTCTTTCACTCATATTTTGGCCATAAACAGTGCGTAATTCATGATGGATTTCAGCGGTACTCATGTTTTTAGCATGAAGAAAGTGGATAACAGCATGAAGTTCACAGCTGGCGGGATATCAATCGTAGGACACATCATAACTAACTCTGTAGAGACAAGAACAAACACTAAGTGATGAGTTATGTGATAGTTTACATGGCAATGAGTAAATTAGATCACGATTTATTTCTTTCCGATGTATCGTTTACTGCCATCGTATCATTTGAGGCTACCTTGCAGTTTGAGCTGCTGACATCGGCATTTATCTCGGTAGAAGCAAGCAGAAGAAAGTGTAAGAGCGAGCAATGATATTGGGATGCTACATAAAATACTTTGTGGATGAGAGAGTACTATTCCTTACCCAGGTACTCTCAAGAGGAATGTAGCAGCAGCACATATTTTGAGAGATTGAAAAAATATTTTCATGAAAAGAATAAAACTGTCTGGCCCCATGCGGCTGGAGTGCCGTGAGATGTACATCCCTATTTTATGCAATTGTCCGTTGAAAAGTTTATTCTAGGAAAGGATGTACAGTTGAGAAAACGCCTAGAAATAGCTTGACAAGTTGCTGTTGCTAGGGATTGTTACATAACTCGAAGCAAGACAAAATTCTTGAAAGCCTTCAATTTAGGGATTTAAGAGGAAGCCTTAGAAATGCAGTAGCTTTCGACGTAATTGTAGGTCTTCCTAAAATTACGACCCGAAGAGATGATACTTCCTCCTCGTCAGTTCGGGACGAGCTGAATCACAGATCGGACACAGTTCGACATCCACACTATAAACCGAACTCCATCTGAAAGGTAACGAAATGCATGACTTACTTCTAAAGGAAAACTTGGTAACAAATCAGAATGCAGGATTTGTGTCTTTATGACCATGAAACCTAACTTAAGATTCAATATGCGGTAAATAGTTCATGTAATTTTCGACAGAAATTACACAGTGGTATGTAGTTTTTTAACTCAATGATATACCAGGGACTCTTCTGCCATTTTTCCTGTGAAGCCAATATTGGGGGCAGCTTGCAGTCAAAACACTTCCATTCTGATGGAAATTTTTGGAATTCAGCTTGAGAGTATCGGCAATCAGTGCTACGTGTATCCATAAATAGCCACTAACTAGTTTTGGGTCATATTTTCTATACATTTTAAGGGTATATTGTATTTAGTATTTAAATCGAAGCCCTAGTTAGCCCTGCGAAGCGTGAAATCCATCTAAACATTTTAAAATTTAGTTCCTACTGCATAGGAAACACATTGAGCCTTCAAAACAAATTTCAGTTGGTTATGACAGTTGAAAAAAACTATCAGTGTTCTGAGAGTAATATAATATGTTAAATATACTCTGTGAATAAAATTCAGAAGTTTACAATGTTAACATGTGCGATATATGTGTTCCAGCTTTGTTTCAAGCAGTTAAGTAGCGGAGAATTATGTAAGATTTGAAGTTCTCACAGTGATGGTTATGAAGAATTCTATCTTCTAGAATATAATGTCTCGTAGTCCGCTGAAATTCAACCGATGTTTCGGAGGTACACCTCACCTACATTTTCAGTGTTGAGGAATAAGCCAAGCAAGAAAACAGCATGAAGCAGTTGCGAACAGAACCAAAGACCTGAATATGGAGGCGATGTGTTTCACCCAAACGTCATTTGACTTTCAACAGACTATACGGCTTTCTTTCGCAGAAGATAGAACTCTTAAGAAAGAATTAGATTTCACGTGATAACAATTACAGACAAGATGGCGACGAAAGTATTTAAAGTTTTGTCTAGCGATAAGTATCGTGTAAGTAGTGGAAATTTTTACTGGAAATTATGTCACTAATTGTTATAATTATTCAGTCGTTCAATGTGATGGTCTATATGTAAGGAATAGGAGCCGGGATAGCTCGCTCGGTATAGCGACTGGCTACGGACTGGAAGGCCAAGGGGTCGGAGTTCAAGTCCCGGTAGGGTCAAGAATTTTCAAATCGTCCAGACCGGCTCTGGGGTCCACCAAACCACCTATTCAATGGATACCGGGGGTTCTTCTCAGGGGTAAAGCCGCGGGGACGTGAAGCTGACCGCTCAACTCCAGCTAGTGCCGAGATCAAGAAATTGTGGATCTATGCATCCACTCCCCCATACGCCTTCATGGCCTATTGCTTAATTAGTTAAGCACAGGAACGACTTTACTTTTCTATGTGTAAGGAATTGAAGCATTTCAAGGCATAGTAATTTAGTATAATTCGAAATATTCAAGTCAGTTTTATTCTGGAATTCTTCCTATAATTTTATCTAACAACATTAAAAGGAGACATTTCCTATGAGGAAGAAATTTGAAGACCGAGTTAACAGATACTTCTAGCTGAACCTCCTAAATTCACACATCGCTAGGACTATTATATTCTAAAATTATTCTAAGAGGTTCTGAGTGGATTACATTTGAAACGACGGGTCAGGGGGATACTGTGCCTTGGTTTTATCCATTGCTTTGAGAAAGGAGACCGATCACTAGACACTTCTCAGAGGAGTCCGATTCTGGTTTCGACCAATGAAATCACAGATAGGCTGTACAGAATAATACTTTTGAATCTGGACAGTATTTTAAGCAGCTGTCCTCTCCCTGAGAGACTAGGAAACATGAATTAGACAATTATTTGAAAATGTATGAGAACTCTCTTTAGAAAGAATTCTGCGAAGTTTCCGTTACATCCTGAACTGCTTATGGTCTCCACGTTGTAAATTGCGTGTTTGTGTATGTCACTAGGGGGGCAATTATATCCCGCAGGAAAACATTCTGCTGAAGTATTAATTAACTAAAGAACTAAGCATTCCTTTAATTAATCTTTACGTCGAGACAAGTGCAAGTCAAGTCCCTAACAACTTACAAAATATAATTAATAATCTACTGTCAGCGTTCTTGAAGCATTTAGGTTATGCTATATACTTTATATCTGCACAAAGCATCTTAATGTGGCAAAAACATATGTAAGCTACATATGAAGGATTGCAGCTTGCTATATTACGTGATATTATGCGCATCTTGAAAATATACAACATATTTTCAAACCCCAGTATTATGTTCACATACCTGAAATGCCTTCAGAACAATAAAAAGTAGAATTATCATTCTTTTCAAGAACCACATGTCATAAAATCTCAACAATTTTAATAGGCAACTTCTATATAAATCTCTTTTACAACGTTGAAAATCTTAACCACTGAATTAACTTAATTTTATCGGAATTTCTTATTTCGCTAACTTGTCTTGAAAACTTCTAAATTTCAAGACCATATTACCGTGATAGAGATGCTGAAAAGGAACCATACTGATGCCGTATGCAGAGAGATTTCTATGACCTGGCCGTATTACTATAGCAGGAATCACCTACTGCAAATTCGAGGGCACGTCTGTACCTTCGGAAGGGTTCTTCGGCGCCACCGATAATTTCAATGTATCCATAATCACTTCTGAATTCTCGGCTCATGATCGCAAATCAATGGTGATTTTCATTCTACGAAAAGAAACTCTGTAAAATACCGAGGAGTTCTAAGTGCTTAGATTGTGTTCAAGTGTAGGATAGATTAGGGGTTTGGTGTAAATAACGGTGACGCAATAGACTGACGATTAATCAGGGCGTGTTAAATCGGGGATTCGCTTATGAAATTGGCTGGCGTGTCTAATGGCAAAAGAAACAAACAGCACAGAAGTTTCTGGGAATCCACACCCGTGTTTCTGTCAATAATTTTCGAGAAAAATACAATTATTAATGCATGTGTTTTTTCTTCTTTTGGCGCTACAGCCCCAATTTGGGCCTTGGTCTGCTTCTATGAAATTTTCCGTTTCATTTCGGTTTACTAGGTCTTAGACATTCGGTAGAACTCCTTGGGCGGGTGATCAGCTCGTCGCAAGACATCTACCTGTACACAAACACAGAAAAACGCAAACACACACAAACATTAAATATCCATGCCCTGAGTGGGAATGGAAACCACGATCCCGGTTTCCAAGGAAGCGATGACAGTGCGTGCCTTAGAGCGCTCGGCTACCGTGACCGGCATACGTTGTTTTATAAATCCAAATTTGCAAGTCATATATATATTCCTTTTGTCGATTATCCGAGGAAATTCATTTCCCATTCATGTCAGATGACATGAAGTCTGCTGTATTTTCTGAAAAGAAAAAAATTCATTCGTTAAATATTTTTTGTGAGATACAGTACATCAGAATAACGTTTTTTTTAAATATATTTGTTTCGACAGATTCGTGCCCGCTATATGAAATATGGGCTTCTCCCAGAAAAGGGTGAGGATTCTTGGCGACAGCAATAAGACCAATACAGGCTGGGGCGCTAGAGCTGGAACAAACTCCCTCTTGCCTACTTGGAAGCTGTGAAACGTCGATAATTCGGTCATATTGTAACCTTCTCTTTACAGCGCTCTCAACTGCTACCAAAGACGCTCCGTGTCCAATATTACACTTATGCATGCACTCGAATCCGTTTTCTGATGACCGAACCGCATCTTGTCATAGAATCGGTTAACTTAGCCACCGAAACAGTTGCTCTTCCTTGTGAGAAAGTACGATTAACGGTGTTACAATGTGGCTATTGCATCCTCATAAGAATATACGCAGGAGTTTAAGAAAATGTAAACTTTATCTCCAACTTAAACTGAGAATTGTATAATACTATTTATCTCCGCGCCGGTCACAGGTAGCCCAGCGGTCTAAGGCATGCACTGTCTTCGCTCGCTTCGAAGCCGGGATCCTGGGTTCGAATCCCACTCAGGGCATGGATGTTTGTGTGAGTTTTTCTGTGTTTGTGTACAGGTAGAGGCCTTGCGACGAGCTGATAACCCGCCCAAGGAGTCCTGCCGTATGTCTAAGATCTAGTAAACCGAAGTGAAACGGAGAGTTTCATGGAGGTAGGCCTAGGCCCAAATTGGGGCTGTAGCGCCACAGAAAAAAAAATTATCTCCGCAGGTAATTACAACATCCTGTTGTACATGATAAAGAAATACAGTTGTGTATAATCCTAGGATGTATTCAGGACACAGGATTGTTAGAAAACTTGAAAGACCTCGTAATACTTTAAATCGCGTTTCAACGGTCTTCATTGTCTATTAGGGTATCATGACCTTAAAGGGATTACAGCAACAGCACAGAAGCCTACTAATAACACTGTAATGTCACAATCGGGATAAAAGTTCTAACTGTATTCGTCTTCCGAGCTGCAACAATTTGTTAGGCCTATGTAATATTCTTCTTCTTCTTCGGCTTTACATATTATGCCTTCTGGTCTAACTAATACAATTTACTCTAATAGACTTTAAAGGATTCTGACGATGGTGTATGCTGTATAGAACTATTGGGCTTATTTTGGACTCTATCCATCGTCTGGTATATAAAAGATAGATCTATCTTGCCCCATTCACCTGAGGACGGAGACAGATCCGGTCTCCGAAACGTTGTGGTTTATTGTCTTATATATACCAGACGATGGATAGAGTCCAAAATAAACCTTATAGTTCTGTACAATTTACTCTTTTTCCTGTGCCTAAAATCTTCAAATATAAATCCAAATATCAGAAAATTAAATATTTCAGTCATTACTCTAGATTCTAAATTTTGGTTGGTTAATGTACCTTGATGCAGATTATATGCCCTGTGTTCCCCACATGGCTCGCATATCACAACTTCGCGATTTCGCCAACATAGCAACGCTAGTCAGGATTACAAACTGCGAAATTTCTCGCCGGGTTGTTTTCCCATTTTACCGCAGAACTTTACTCTAATTTGTTATAACTATTATTAATAACATTATAATTCTGAGATCCATAATCTCATTAATTGTATTGGAATAAGGAAGAACTGCCTGATCAATTAAAGAAATCTATTATTGTACCAGTGCACAAGAAGTGTGATAAAACTGATTGTAGTAATCATCGGGGGATATCGCTTCTATTAACTTCATACAAAATTTTATCTAATGTTAGGTTAAGTCCGTACATAGATTAAATTATTGGGGACCATCAGTGTGGGTTTCGAAATATCAGATCAGCTACTGATCAGATCTTTTGCATTCGTCAGATATTGGAGAAAAAATGAGAGCACAGTGAGACAGTAGATCAGATATTCGTAGACCTCAAGAAAGCCTGTGATTCAGTTAGGGGAGAAGTATTGTACAATGTTCTCATGGAGTTTGGGGTATTCAAGAAACTAGCTAGGCTGATTAAAATATGTTTAAATGAAACGTATAGCAAAGTCCGCATAGGTAAGCATTTGTTTGAAAATTTCTTATCCAGAATGGTCTAAACAAGGAGAGGTTTTATCGCCATTGCTTTTCAACTTTGCTTTAGAATATGCCATTAGGAGGGTCGAGAAAAATCAGGTGGGACTGAAATTAAACGGGACACATCTGCTGTTGGTCTGTGCTGATGACGTGAATCTACTGGGGGATGACATAAATACCGTAAAAGAAAGCACAGAAACTTTCACTGAAGCTGGTGGGGAGGTTGGTCTAGAAGTAAACACTGAGAAAACTAAGTATACGTGTATGCTGCTGTCTCGTCACCAAAATGCGGGGCAAAAACGTGATATAAAGATAGCTAACAGATCCTTTGTCTGCTGTCTAAAAACGTAAAAATTAGAACATGTAAAACTATAATTTTGCGTGTGGTTCTGTATGGGTGTGAAACTTTGTCTCTAACATTAAGGGAGGAACATAGACTGATAGTGTTTGAAAACAGGTGTTGAGGAGAATATTTTGGCCGAAGAGAGATGAAGTGATAGAAGACTGGAAAAACAGCATAATGAGGAGCTTCGTAACTCGTACTCTTCACCAAGTATATTTAGAATGATCAAGTCAAGGAGGAAGAGATTAGCAAGGCATATAGCACGAATGGAGGCGAAGGAGAATGAATATAAGATTTTGGCGAGAACGCCAGAAGAAACCACTAGGAAGACAAAAATGTAGGTCGGTGGATAATATTAAAATGGATCTTAAAAGGATAGGATGAGGTCATATGGACTGGAATGATGTGGCTCAGGATAGGGGCAAAGTGGAGGGCTCTTGTTAACATGGGAAGGCGGCTTCTCAAGAAAGGTTCATCTCCATGGAGTTAGTTAATAATATTCGAGTTTTATTATTTATTTATCTGTTTATTAGAGTTACAGATCCCCGAATAGCAAACAAACCGAATTCAGCAGACTCTGAGAAGCTGATACCCAAGTAGTCAAGAAATGTCCCTCTCTGATGGAGCCTGATGGCTCATTATAGTGTTGACAGCAGTCGAACATTTCATCATACCGACCCTGAGAGAGATGAGTCCGTTCTTTGGCGCTTTTCAACGTAACCGTCTACGTCTGGGGCCCTGTGTAACGTTTCGTAACGTGGTTATTTTACGGTGACCGAGTTTTATCCACCGCACAAGCCCCTCTCTGGAGATTCATTCCCTTTCTGTTCTCTGCACCTCTTTGTTCAGTACATTCGCAACTGCTCTCCACGTGTAAGTGAAACCTGCCGAAGAACTATTCAAGAAAAAGATCAATGTTTGAGTTTCGCTTTAATAATTTGCACTAACTTCGCCGACAAGCGGCGCTCGCTCGGTCGGTATAGTCCGCTTGCGGGCTATAGGCCACGGAGATTTATTTCAATGCAATATGTCGCCATCTGTGTCCACACTCAAGTCTTGGAAATTACTAATCTAAGGAAATAATCCCTCTCTCACTCTACCAGGAGCCATGGCTGAGACAGTCTCCTTGCCTGCCCACTTGGAGTTTTCGTCATTGCAAGACCCTGGAGAACGTTACACATTAGGAGACCTGCTGGGCTCTGGGGTCTACTCCGAGGTGTTTGAAGCTAGGGACCAAGAAAACGGTAAGAATAAATACCATTATGGATCCGAAGTTCTATAGTGCGAATGCAGTAATTATTTAAACTTGCCTCCTACTATCATGAGAGCCGGAATAGCTCAGTATAGCGACTAGCTATTTCTGGACGACTGAGGGGTCGGAGTTCGAATCCCGGTGGGTTCAAGAATTCTCACTCCTTCATGTCATCAAGACCCAATCTGGAGTCCACCAAATCTCTTATCCAATGGGTACCGTGGACTCTTTCTTACGGGGTAAAGCGGCCGGGGGGTGAAGTTGACCACTCACCTCGAACTAATGCCGAGGTCAAGAAAATGTGGATCTATAAACCTAGTCCCCCATATGCCTTCATGGCGTAGTGCTTAGTTAGTTACGTACAGGGAAAATTTTACCTTTATCTCTTACTATCATAACCTAATTCGGTGATCCTCTCCTTCCTGCATATTGCGTCCCATCCATTATTTTGTCAAAATACCTAGTCATACTATAATAAAAATGAAACCTCTTTTTTTTTAAGAATCGTATTTTTAAAATTACTCTATGCACATTTTAGCCTTGTATTAATCTCTACTTTGCAACCACCGTACCGTCAAGTCTCGCCAGTGGGACGCGTCCCACTAGCTGAGACACCCTGGCCTAATTTGAGAGTAGGACTACACAAATCGCATTACAAAAATGGGCCCACCTATACGAAAACTTAAGATGGTTTATAACTACGTATGGCCTGTTTATGTTACATGACGATGAGTATGTCGTTCTCACCCCGTAATATTTTCCACATATTTACACAGATGGCAGGTCGGGCTGTGTCACAAACTGCGCCATCTGTTGGGTAAAGATGTGACTTACTTCATCGTTTTAACGGTGAAATAAGATACCGAGAGAAAGGGGATGGAAATAGGAAAAGAAAGGAAGAAAGCGGTGGAAGACGAAGATACGAAAGAAATGACTCTCAGTTAAACTTCAGCGGGCTTACCCGCTTCACACTGTGAAGTGAAATACTGGTTCATTTTTAAAATAAAAATATTTTTCAGTAAAAGTGTAAATGAATGTACCCAAACTTCACATTTGTGCGACATTTATGACTTCAGAGACCTTATAGTTATAAATACTCATGCTTAATCCCTGCTTTGCCTTAATGAGCCTTGCAGCAAAATGTCACGTTAGTAAAGTAAAAAAATCAACGTTGCCATATTCTCAGTTAAGCATGGGAGCAAAATATTATGTCAGGTGTCTTCAAGGCCTTTTACACCGAAACCGGCCGATCAGGTGCCTGTTATAGCCACAGGATGGTCTATCGTCTCCGTGATTTTCAAGTTGTCCTTCCTTCCAGCAGTATGTAATCAATTCCGTCCGTCTTGGCCAGCTCTTTGCACAATTTCTTTCTGCATTTTCCCTGCTTACTTCGACTGCGTTATTGATGTTACATAGTTCTCGAATATATTCCATTTTATGTGACCACATGTGGCCAAATACGTGGCTAGTGTTCTCAACTACTGTTCTTCCATTATTCTTTAATGTCTCGCAACCTCAGTTCATGTCCCACTACAATACTTTGAGGTATGACATAGTAAGTATAAATAAAGGATTTTATAATTGTTATGTTCGTTTCAGGAGGTAAGAGAGTAGCGATAAAAATTCAGGCAGTGACTCCGGACACAGAAGAGGACCTGCGCAATGAGTACCACATTCTGCGAGAATTCTCCTGTCATCCCAACCTCCCAGATCTCTATGGCATCTATCTCAAGAAGGCTTCATCAGACTCAGAACATGAGAGGGTTTGGTTTGTCATGGAGGTATGACTACTACATATATATATATAGAATGGGGCAGAAGTGAGTACCAATTGCGTTAAAATGGTAATCTTTATTATAGTATTATCATTATTGCTAATATTGTAATTGGCCACTGTGCTGTTAATTTTACACGTAAATAAACACAAACTGAATTTTATTATTATTATTATTATTATGAGCCGGAACAGCGCAGTCGGTATAGCGACTGGCTGCGTCCTGAACGACAGAGGGGTTGGAGTTCGAGTCCCGGTAGGGTCAAGAATTGTTTTCTTCTCCACGTCGTCCAGATCGGCACTGAGGCCCGTCCAGCCTCCTATCCAAAGGGTGCGGGGGGGTTCTTTCCTTGGGAGTAAAGCGGCCGGGGCGTGAAGCTGACTACTCACTTCAAGCTAGTGCTGAGACCAAAAAAAATCTATTCATCCACAACCCCATACGTCTTAATGACGTGGTGCTTAATTAGTTAAGCACATGAACAAATTTTCTTTTTATAATTATATTATTATTACTTATGTTTATATGTCAATGAATATCAATTTAATGTTCAAATTGGCTAACTTGCGAATCGACACACTGATGCAGAATTGCAGGAACACTCGAGCAGACATTTAACAAAGCTATGTGTCGTCATCAATTTTTGCGAAGGCATGGTCTACAGCTGATTTCAGGTCGCCTAATGTTTGCGGTGGTTATTCTGGCAGGAAGCAGCAGTTAAAATCTGTTTCTATACTCTTCAATATCTCAGTCAACCAATACATTTCAATGGGTACTGACTTCTGCTCCATTCCGTATGAAATATGATAATTAAGTACCGGGACATTTGTGCTGTAACTGCTAAACCTGATGAAATGGCTTGCGTAGGATCGCGTGTCTAGACGTTTCAAAATTTTCGTGTCAGAGTTACTATCATAGCGTTTGTTATAATCAAAAGCAGTCCGATCTGCTTTCTTGTTATCAAGGGAAGTGTTCACTTCATATCGCATAGTACAAAACAAATTGTAAACTAGCATCGTACATTCAGAGTTTGGAAGAATTACTGCAGCGCGATAGTCGAAAAATGACAAATATTTTGCCCGGATTATGGATTTTTCATAATGGTGATGCGCCTTCGCATATATCATCTTCGGCAAAACGAATATTTGTCAAATGCAAACAATAACTTTCAGAACATCTGACGCACATACATAATTAGTTTCCCTATGATTTCTCTATATCCGTGATATTAAAATTCCCCCTCAAATCATCCGGTTTTGAATCAATTGAAGATATTCTGGACTACATGAAAATTGTATCTAAAGGACTATCAAAAGAATATTTCCAGGCGTGGCAGGGACATTTGAAATTATGTATCAAGCAAGAGGCGTGTATTGTCTAGGCTCAAATAGCACCAAAGTTGCGGTGACATTTTATGTATGCATACAAAAAAAAAAAAAAAGGAAAAGCTATCTCTGTAACAGGCCGTGGAGGCCCACAGGGGTGTGAGACTTCGAGGCTCCCACATTTTCTAGACAATTGGTTCACAGATGGCGGTAAGGTTGTCAGCCTTATGTGCCTGCCGCCCTTTGACCCCAGGAAGATTCTTGGCACTCATTTCGGTTAGAGGCTGAGTCGACCCCAGGGTCATAGGATTGGACTGGAAGGATTAGGCCAATTAAAAATATCCACCTCATCGGGACCCGAACCCGCAACCTTCCGGCTTGTAGCATAATGCCTTAACCAACTACGCTACCGGGTGCCCCACATATGCTACAAGCCAGAAGGTCGCGGATTTGATTCCCGTTGAGGAAAATTAGATTTTTAAATTGACCTAATCTTTCAGGCCACAATATTTTCCTGGGTTCGACTCAGTCTCTAACAGAAGTTAGTACCACGAATCTTCCTGGGGGTTAAGGGAGGCCAGCGCATAAGACTGACAACCTCACCGCCATCTGCGAGCCGATTGTCTAGAAAATGTGGGAGCCTCGACGACTCACAAACCTATGGGCCTTCACGGCCTGGTACATGGATAGCTCTACTTTTTTTATCATATTTTTTATTGATGATACAAAATTCACTGCTTTTTACAAATATTTCGGATTCATTCAATTTTTAATATGTAGTGAATAATTAATTCTTGAAAGATTTTAGGTTGGCACGGCGGTGACTATGAAGTCTACCCTCTTCCGGGATGTTATACCGTATAGTCTGGTAGATCGTTACCGATTTTTGAAGGAAATTACTACGTTGATCTTCAGGGCAGAAAATAGAGACAGTATGTTCTTCCGAAAGTCGGTAACGATGTACAGGAGTACACGTCAACATATCAGAGATGACAGTAGCGTTCACAGATGAGCGCTGTTCATCGGTGTCTTACGTCGTAACTTGCAGCCATGAAGATATAAATCTTAGGCTTAATTCCGTGAATTGTACATGATTAACTGCTAAAACGTAAACCGTACTCACATCACATCAGGTTTACCACTTTTTGTCAATGTGATTTAGTTTCAGGCAAACAGTAAATGGGAAAATAGTTTTGTCCTTCAAACAAGTTACGAAGCCTTCGCACAACTTCTCCGCATATGGCGTAAGCATAAAAAAGACAAGAACTCTGCAAGAAGAAGAATAAGGAGAATATGAACAAAGTGGATCCAATGACAGTAGGGACACCAAATCCATCATAAATCAACATGAAAATATTGCCTTCTGCTTGATGTATACCACGCCATGCAACTGACGGGACAAAAAAAATGTTAATCTTCAGTTGCATTTTAAACCAGTGTTCCCAGCCAATAATTCAGAATACCGCTGGAGCGTTGAGAAGCAAGTAGAAAATAACAGAAAGAGAAACCTAGGAAAAACAAGAATAAGGTTGGCATACGCACTTGATTTATAATACAAGACTGAAAACGATTACATGGAGCGATTCCATAAGAATTCCAAGCGTTTCCTTGGCCCCAAAGTACTTCGTGAGTTTGGACACAGTTTAAACACCGGCTTAACAGACGTCCTCTGCATAGGTCGTTAGGGAATTTGAGTGTACAGTGTGAACACATACATAGTGCGCCGTGTTGCGAGGCGGTTATGGTAATTCGATACATTTAGAACAGACTTACGCAGAGATTAGTTGCTGCTCACTTCGCTCAAGGACAATAAAACTGACGTTAGGTAGACCCATTTCTAGGCAACGCCCGAAATACGTGCACGCAACAATAGAAAAGGTATTGGAAAAAGTGTTCTCTGTGTGGTCCGCGGCATACCCAGTGTTGGGCAACGGGTCAATAGACACTCATTCTGACAATACAAAAGGTATTTTCTATGTGGTCCGCGCCATGCCCATTGCTAGACAACGTGTGGCTAAACACATTCCCGCAGAAGCGTACCATGGAAAAATAAGAAGTCCATATCTATGAAAGGGACCGGTAAACACCCCTATGAATTGTTGAGAGACGGTATATTCCGTGGGGTCCATGAAGAGTGTATATAAGAGAGTTGAGTTCCGAAGCTGGTAGTTTTAGGAGTACAAGAGAGTAGTTGTGGAAGTACAAGAAAGAGAATCGAAGGCGTACAACGGAGTACAACGGAGTTAGCCTGCGAAAAGAAGACTTGATGTATGCTGTAGTTACAGTGAGACTGTAATATATCCGTTGCCATGATACGACTAGTGAAGACTGAGAAGATTTAGTGTGTTCTAGGATTGGTGAAATGGGTAGTTTAGCGATAGCGCTATAATTGATTGTGGTTAAGAATGATTGTAAAATGGCTTTAATAAATCCAATCATGCAATCCAGAACCAGTCATGACCATAAACACATGACAATATGTCCAAATAATTTGCGAATAAAATGGCCAAAAACTAATACATTGTTTTAGTCTACAGAGATAAAGATACATCTCAATGGATTTTTGAGAAATCTATGGCAAACACGAGATTAACTGTTTTCGGAACCAAGCACCTACAGGTCTATTATTTATATAGTGACATGTTGACCCCTACCTCCCCAGCGGTGCGTGGCGGTGGCGTAACGCTCGCGTTCTTACGGTAATAGGCGAGTTCCCGCCCCGCCACTCCCCTCCGCGGTGACGTCACCGAGGGATATCGCGGTCGCTAGGCAACGCGAATCAACAGCGGCGACGTTACGATAGTAACAGCGGTGACCTCCGCTAGCGTTACATAGCAACAGAGCGCCAGGCAAAAGGGTGCCTATTACGTGGCCGTTTTCCCGTATTGTCCGATCGAGGCTACATAGGGAGAAGCGAAGGCTATTCACAGTCAGTTTTAACGTGGCTACCAGCGAGTTCTAGTGTGGCTACCGCAGAGTTGTACTGAGTCAGTCAGCGAGTCCTGGACCTATCGTCGAGTTAGCCAGCAACCAGTCAGTTGTATTGTGGCATTTGGAGTGTACTATTTGTGATACTGCAGATAGCAGTAATCGTAAATCTGTAATTTGGGTGATTGTAAGTGCGAATGTGAAATAAAATTCGCTATATAAAATACATCGAGAATTTATTTGTCGCGATATACCCCGCGATACGCGACAACTGGTGTCAGAAGTGGGATCAGTAACGCAAGACACGTTACAATATGTACGACTCGTACCAGGTGACTGATTGCACCAAAAGAACCGTGCATCAAACGTAACTTCTCAATCTTTGAAATATCATGTATTCGAGTGAGAAATAAAATACAGTATATTTGGCTAAAAGTAAAGCACGAAGCAATGCAATGTCGGGTAGCTGTGGCAGTTTACATTGCACTTAGATGAGTGGATATTAATCAAGTCAGAAACTTTACTAACGTAAGTTTGTTGCGTTTTACATACACTTTTTAAGTCCGCTTTGGTATTTGGCGATTGTTATTCGTAAAAATACACACTAACTGACTAATTCCATAAAATTTAACCCTTCTTCCGAACATAATAGTCGCTACACAAAGTACCGCACGCTTTCTATGAAAACTGGAATTTCATAGAGGCCAATCATTGGATTTTATCATGGAACAGATGATTCCAGACCGCACTTTCCCATTCTATTTCATTAAAATCAAATTTAATGTTATATTCCACCTACTCCTATGTCTTCCGCCATGTCTTCTTCCTTCAGGTTTCTGATAAAAATTGTGTACGAATTCCTTACATCTACATCTGCAATACATGCCCCACCCTTTTCGTCCTCCTTGATTCGATCACCTTGATTATAAAGTGGGAAGGTTGAAATTATGAAGCTCCTCAATATGGAGTTTTGTCCGGCATTCTGTCATTTATTCTCGCTTGGGTTCAAGTCCGAGCATCTGTTCACAAACACCCTGAATCCACATCCCTTAGCATTAGACCAAGTTGTGCACTCATGGAAAACTACAGTTGATGCTATAGTTTCGTGCATTCTAACCTTTGCAATTTAATTATCAGAAGGGAAAGCATCACGTGTATGAACAAAGTGAATAGCTACTGACAGCGCCGGAAACCAAAGCACAACCCATCTTCAAATTGCTGCTTATCAGCAGTGTAAACCGCAGAGTTCACGGGGTATCGAAAGAGACTAAAAGACAACTAAGACTGTCAAATAGACAGGGACTTGAAAGGAGGCAGTAGAGGCCTATTTGAAATAATTATTCCTGTATTGGTGTGGCGAGACTGAGGAAAACTATGAAAACCATCAGTGGCTTTATCCCATCAGTACGGTCTGATGACTCCTGAACAAACACCGCCAATTTTCTCGACTGGAATATATTAACAATTATTGCAATAGGCCTAATGAAGATAAATTTATTATTTGCTTTTTTATTCTTTATTTAATTGGTGTTCTAATTGCAGCTTTGTCTAGGCGGACCTGTGCGTGATTTGGTCCGGGGATTGCAGGAAGAGAACCGGCGGATGACAGAAGAACACATTGCCTATATTCTGAAGGAGGTAGTTAAGGTTGGTACATCACACAACCAAGTATATACGTGGACATCTATTTTCACTCTCAGTAATGCGACCTTAAGAAGATGATTTTAACCACCAGATCCCTGGAAGTTGCTATTCAATTTACGGTGAAGGGAAAAGTAAAAGAAGCCTGTGACTGAAGGCAAGAGCAAGACACTTCTGTTTAACTTATGTCCACTTATTTTTTCTGTATTTGTAAGAAAATTTCCGAATTTAGTTATGGAATTGAATTCATCTTTTTACTATGTATAAAGAAGCGGAATGAATTCTACAGGGTGTATAAAAATTCCCAATTAACTGACAGACCGATGTATCATAGAACAGTTATAATTCTTCGAAGAGTTATGTCAGCCTTATAAATTTAGGGGGGGACATTTTGTACATGTGGTTTAACGTCTGTAAATACAATTTAAAGATAACATATATGGAAAAATTTTCAGCCAATTTTCCTTATTTTTAAAAATAAAAGAGGCTTATGAGACCACGTTGCTCTCTGTCTGTGTATCCCCTTAATTTTCTAGTCTTGTGAGATAACATGAATATGTCGCCCATTAATTATTTCGTTTTCTGTGCCGTCCGTTTCGTATCAAAGGAAAGTTGACGCGTAGTCCTTCCCACAACGTCTTGTTGATATACCTTATCAGTCTCAGAACCACCACTTCTTATGTGATTTTGTGAAATAGTTTGCATCTTCTTCCCTTTCAGCTGGTAAAAGCAACAGCTGAGTTCGCTCAGACTTCATGTTCGTCCTCGTTCATAGGTTAGAAATTATTAGTCTTTGTAGGATTTGTGGTGCTCACAACGGTAGTTATAAAGAGTCATGTCTTCTGGGACATAATGCCGTGTAGTCCGTTGAAAGTCGAGCAAAGTTTCGGAGTAAAATGTCATCTCCATTTTCAGGGTCGAATAAGCCAAGCAAGAAACGAGCGTGAGAGTATGTGGCAACGAGAGATAAGAGTTCCTCCGAAAAGTTGATCTACTTTCAACGGACTATATGGCGTTATATCCAGAAGAAAGGACTCCTCTTTTTTAATGTTGTTCCCTTCTTTTCTGATTCAGTCTCTCCTTCAACAGGTTCTGGTGTATCTCCATGAGAACCACGTGATGCATCGGGACATAAAGGGCAGTAACATTCTTTTGACTAAAGATGGAGAGGTGAAGCTGGTAGACTTTGGTCTATCGAGGTAAACATAATTCAGTCATGCGTATAACAGTCCACAATAAACTCAAGATCAACTGTTGTAGCAAGCAACTCTCTGAAATTCCAGTCATAAATGGCTTCACTTAATAGTCTATAGCCTAAAATAAAACAGTCTACACTAATGTAACAATTGCCTCGATCGTTTTTGTATTGTGTGTTATGGTGTATCAGCACTGACTACAGACAGTTCTGATACATTGAGCATTATCAGTCGTCTAGACTCTAACCCAGACGACAGTGTCCAGGTCACTAAAACTAACCATTATATACCGTCCTCCAGAACAGTGGTTCTCAATCTTTTTCTGCTCGTGACCAACTTCTGAGTTTCGTTCACTTCTGTGCCCCCCCCCCGCAACACATATTATTTAATTATAATAAATATGTGCTTTATAAATTACATTTTTATTTATAACATGTATTATTTGTTTATAATATAAGGAATATTAATTAATTTTTAAAATTTATGACTGCCCTATTTCTACATTTTTGAGAGATGTGGAAATTTTTGGAAATCAATATCCATGAAAATTACTTTGGAAGCCATTCTACTTAAAATAAATGC